CATATTTAATTAAATATGAGCTTATTCGAACAACATTCTGATAAAAAAAAGTTTAAGACATAACAAAAACATGACAAATGTTTTCCTGAAATTGGAACAGTCCAAAGTTAGGTTGTATAAATAAGGTTTTGCAAAGAACTTCTCTATTTGTCCCGCATTCACATTTTTTAATCAGAGCTGTCTTATTATGGACTCGCCAGGCAGTTCCATATAGACTGAAGCTCAGACTGAGTGTCTGCAGTCCCCTCTGCTGATTTTGATGAGTCAGAATTATTGGCTCCAGACCTTTAAAGTCTCTTTATAGTATCCATAGTGGGAATAAAAGTCCTCAACGCCGGTCGGTGTAATCCTGAACAACAAAGGATGTCTGAGCAARATTGTGACCTGAGTCTCTTGTAAATCCTCAAACCAGCTACAGTCGTAAAACTGGATCCATCTGACCACTTATTGGGCTGATGGTTCATCCTCAGGTGCTCTCAWCCAGACAAAAGGTCAGATACTGGCCAAAATCTAACCTGCGGAGGTCCTGAGGAGRTGTACGTCCTGGCCTAAATGATCAYAAGCTCCTTTCCATGTTGGGAYAGAAAGACCYGCTGCATGTCAAAGATGTCTCGTCACTTTTAAGGTCAATCAGCGTTTCCCATCAAACTTTTATTTGGGGACAAGTGTGAGTCATGTGAGAAGCTGGTGACTGACAATGACCCAGTTTCCTCCTCATCGTCGTCGTCTTCATGCTGGGGTTCGAACGAGACCGTTGTCTGAAGAGTCAGTGTTCGCTCCCTGACAACAAAACCAAAAAGATAAAGAGACATTGTGTTCATTTGCATTTTTTTTGTGTGGTTGATGAAAACACGTGAAGAGAGTGTAAAAAGTAATAGTCATAGCAGTTTTCAATCTTAACTATCTTGTTTTACTCATGTCTGATGATTCATCTTCACATATTCCTCAGAGATTTTCTACTTTAATAACTTGAACAGATAAATGAAGAGATCAGATTTATGAAATATGAACAAAGTAAAAAATTATCTTATAAATATTCTGTCTCAGAACTGTAGCTTCCAGTTTTTTCTTTGTTTGGTCTAATTTAAGCTCCGTGTTTCAGATCTTGATGAACTGGTTGCCATACGAGCCTTTATTTAAACAGCTCATGTGACTTTTTTTAAACATTGTTTGCAATAACTGCTGATAGTCGGGGTGCATTTTTTCCACGGAACATTATTTTCCAAATATGCMGACTGTCATATGCTTCTTTTAAAAGAAAGAAGAAGAAAAATTAAAGGTTTGGTGAAATWTAACACATTAAATGTGATGACGGGTAAATTAAATAAAACATCAATTTCAGCTATGTACAAAACTCAACTAAATGTTTTCTGTATTTTTTTCACGTAAACTCAAGGAAATAAACAGTTCTTTACTGATCCTTAWGACATCTTAGCAAAAAAGGGACCTTTTAACACAAATGAACAATTTATTTTTGTTGAATTTATGTAAAATACCGAAAASCACAGTTTGACGCATAAAATAGCATTTCTTCTTAAAATGAAGCAGAATGAATTTTAAAAAACACCTATCCTGAGTCTGTTTCTGCTGGGACTTTCCGTCTTGTTAAAAGGGGGTTGTTCCTCTCCACTGTCACCCTTTGGTTGCTCAAAATGAAGGACTGCATCAACATAAACATTTGACACAATCTGATGGTTTCTATAGGTATTTAATTTTTTTAAACTGATTTTATAATCTACAAAAWTTGGATTTACTCTCCTGCTGCCCCTGGGTCAAAATAACCTAAGAAACCTCAGTATCAACAGTAAGGCCTTGTGGACTMTTTTCAAAGGGTAGAAGGAGGATTAAACTGGTTGTATGTGGGTGGATTTTATTCCCAGGGTGWATTCTGATATGACTGGGACTTTTAGATTTTTTTCCCCTGAGATGACTTTAGTTGAGAAATAGATCTGTGTGAATAAACTAAATGAAAATGTTAACACCAACCAGGTTTGATTTTCAAATGTCCACGGGCTGAAAACTCGACTTACAGCAGATCAATGGTTCCCAAACGGTTCAGGTTTTGACCAACAAAGTAAAGGTTTTAGAGACTTGTGACCCCGAATGTGGCTGGAAATAAAAATTGTTAATATGCCATTCAAGGAGTCCATGACTATGTTTATGATACATATACTCTCTAGTTACTGTGTTTCCTGATTACTGAGTTCTCTGATATGTATTTTCCCTAAAACCGATGTTCACATTATCTATGTTCCCAATACCTATGTTCAAGGCGTCTATGTTCCCAGTACCTGTGTTCATACCATCTATGTTCCCAATATCTATGTTCACCGTATCTATGTTCTCAGTACCTATGTTCCTAGTATCTATGTTCTCAGTACCTATGTTCTCAATACATATGTTCCCAGTACATTTTTTCCCAGTATCTTTGTTCCCAGTACGTATGTTCCCAGTATCTATGGTCCCAGTACCTAAGGTCTCAATACATATGTTCCCAGTACATTTGTTCCCAGTATCTATGTTCCCAGTACGTATGTTCCCAGTATCTATGGTCCCAGTACCTAAGGTCTCAATACCTATGTTTCCAGTACATATGTTCCCAATATGTATGTTCCCAGTATCCATGTTCCCAGTACCTAAGTTCTCAATACCTATGTTCCCAGGACCCACGTCCCCATCACCTGTGTTCCCAGTACATGTTTTCAATACCTATGTTCCCAATACCTATGTTCCCAGTACCTAAGTTCCAGTACCTAAGTTCCCAATATGTATAGTATGTTCCCAGTACCTGTTTCCAGAATTTATTTTCCCAGTACCTAGGTTCTCAATACCTATGTTCCCAGTACCTCAGTTCTCAATACCTATGTTCTCAATACCTATGTTTCCAATACCGTTGTTCCCAGTACCTATGTTCCCACTACCTATGTTCCCAGTACCTATGTTCCCACTACCTATGTTCCCAGTACCTACGTTCTCAATACCTATGTTCCCAGTACCTAAGTTCTCAATACCTATATTCCCAGTACCTAAGTTACCAATATGTATGTTCCCAGTACCTATGTTTCCAGTATTTATATTCCCAGTACCTAAGTTCTCAATACCTATGTTCTCAAGACATATGTTCTCAAGACCTATGTTTTCAATACCTATGTTTCCAATACCTTTGTTCCCAGTACCTATGTTCCCACTACCTATGTTCCCAGTACCTATGTTCCCAATACCTATGCTCCCTGTACCTAAGTTCCCAATATGTATGTTCCCAGTACCTATGTTTCCAGTATTTATATTCCCAGTACCTAAGTTCTCAATACCTATCCTCCCAGTACCTAAGTTCTCAATACCTATGTTCCCAGTACCTATGTTCCCAATACCTATTTTCCCAGTATCTATGTTCCCAGTACATATGTTCTCCTGGGGTTAACAATAAAAGTCAAGAAAATGCTTGGCTCCCTCATTGTACCGGGGAACATTGGGACAGGGGTNTATGTTCCCAGTACATATGTTCTCCTGGGGTTAACAATAAAAGTCAAGAAAATGCTTGGCTCCCTCATTGTACYGGGGAACATTGGGACAGGGGTACAGGGGAGAACATAATCGGTAACATAAGTACCGTGTAACATACTGTGGGTACAGCGGTACATAGGGATGACCCCCAATCAWAAAATGTGCCGTCAACCAGTTTTTTGTTTAATCCATCTCTTTGTAGCAGTTAAGGCTTATTCTACTACTGGCAATCTCTATTTTTTGTAACCATTAATTTGATTTTTAAAAATCACCTCAAGGTCCCAATTGTGTTTGGGAACCACTGGTGTAGAGTATCAACTGTGAAGGATAATTTTGGATTTAAACAGATCAGTGGGACATACCTTCCTTCAGGTTCTGTGTGGGGCCAGTTGGCTCTTACTGTCCACCCAAGGGCAGTCTTTAAGTACCGGGAGCAGCAGGGAAACCTGCTATTCAGCTGTTCCAGAAGTTCCTCTTTACGCAAACCGTAAACGACCGGCGCAATGCACTGCGCCACGCTGAAGAAGGCGAAAATGACCACGGCGGCCAGCTCTTTGGTCTCTCGCTTAATGAAGTCATTTTGGAACAGAACTGTAAGGACAAAGTTCACAAAGTTGGGCAGGAGGTAAACAGCCAGCTGTGTTCCATGCAGGGCGATGGTCCTGCACCCGGCCCGGTTCCGTCGGTTGAGAACCCCAAGCCTCCGTCCCTCCAGCAGAATCCTGATGTAGCTGTAGAGGATGACCAGCGTGCACACACTGATGAAGAGCACCTTCCGCAGCACGCCTCTCTTCAGCTGATCCCGGTCACATTCCTGGAGGTTGTTGGAGTCCGTCTGGAGGAGCAGGCTGAGCGGAATRGCCAGGGCCAGCAGCCAGGTGAGCACCCCCAGCAGCCAGGGCCAGTAACTGAGAGACGAATACTGAGGTTACTTTGTGGAGCTTTAAGGAAAAGACTATTTCAGCACTGACAACTGAGTTTACTACTTGATCATACATTCATGAGTCATGTTGGTTAAAACTTTGATTTACCATAACTAAAGTGAAAYTAAGGAATACATATCATGGTCTATTTTAGATCAATATCTGTAAAACTGGCTGAGCTAAAGCCATTTTGGGTTTTGCTCATTTCAGTTAGTTCCCTGGTACCTGTCATTTCCAATACATTTCATCCTCAGTACCTATGTTTCCTGGTACCTATGTTCCCTGGTACCTATGTTTCCTGGTACCTTCCTCAGTACCTATGTTCCCTGGTACCTATGTTCCTCAGTACCTATGTTTCCTGGTACCTTCCTCAGTACCTATGTTCCCTAGTACCTATCTTTCCTGGTACCTATGTTCCTCAGTACCTATCTTTCCTGGTACCTATGTTCCTCAGTACCTATGTTCCTCAGTACCTATGTTCCTCAGTACCTATGTTCCCTAGTACC